CCTCTACCCCGGGGCGCCCACTGCCAGGAAGTGGCTTGCCGAGACTTATGCAGCAAACCTTCCGTTGAATTTGCAGGCTTTTGCCGGGGAACTGCATGTTATTCAGGATGATGCAAGTAGTTGTGAGATCTCGGGTGGGTTTGCTTTGAGCTTAGGCATTGCGAACGCCTGAGTCCGTTTGTTATAGCTTTGTACGATCGCCGCCAGAGTTCGCCAAGCCTGCACATTCTTTAGACTGGACCACCCTCTTCTGAGAGTTCCTCTTGAGAGCCTGGCAAGAGGGGGCACTAGCGAAGCAACGCCTCGTGCTTGCACAGATGGCTGTGTCAGTACAGCTGCTGCTGAGACGAATGCAGGGATAAATGTGCTGCGAATTGACTTATGGTGAACATTCCTCGCAGTGTTTCTCCTGGGCCTCAGCCTCGCTGTTGCAGGTGCTTAGATCCCGCAGAGGAGCGCTGCAACGCGTCAGCGAATGGTTCGGAGCTCGGGTGCGTCCCCGGCTGCTCGGCAAAGGGTCACCATTGACGGAAGGAGCCATGCACCACGCCAAGTGGAAATCCAACGAAATAAGAAACTTGGCCACCCACATCTCTTATTTTAAGGAGGTTGGGGCCCAAACGTTGGGTGCCGCTCATTTCGAAGGCATGCAGCTTGTTGGATGCTCTTGTGTTGTCCAGCTGATGTAGCCCCCGGCACTTCTTGATGAATCGTTTCTTGTGCACATGATCTGCTGTTCCCCTGCAACCAAGCGCTTGCAAGCCACGAAGTTCTCATGTTAAGTGTCCCCCTGCACATTCGTTGAGGTTACGAGGGACCCCTTTGCGCCACTTGCGCCGACAGATACCGCAGCCAGGGCCGGCGCTGCAAGAAGTGCGAGGACAGGGTTGGTATCAGGTTAAAAAGCACAGTTTTTTTGAAGCAGTCCGTTTGAAAACAAGCCGTGCAGTTTGATGAGGGCGGCGGCATCGTCTAACTTTTCGAGCACAGTACCCCGAATACTAACGCGAGTCGAGGAAGGCTACGAAGCGGCCCGGTGGCCCATCGCGCTGGCTGCAGCAACAGCGGCGGCTGGAGGCTTCGCCTTTTTTGCCTGGTGGAGGTGCGCAGACTGGGTTATGCAAAGCCAACATGACATGCCTGCGAACTGCGTGCATCGTCAAAGTGATCACCAGATGAACATGTTGACACCGAATCTTTGTGTCAATGGTCATGCCATCTGCGGGCATCTTCGGGCGCCGCACGAGCCCCACCCAGCTGAGGAGCCGCACAGCAGAGGCTCCGGCGGCAACTCCAGCGACTCCCACACCGTACGCTGCATCCCGGCAGCCAATACGGGGTGTCCAGAGCTGACAGGTATGACGAATTAGCCATACTGCTTGTGATGCTGATTTCGAGAACGACTGTCACAGCCCGTGGCAGCTACCATTGGGTAGGGAATGCAAGTTTGAGCAACCGAAGACGTTACCCCTGCAGCTCCGTGCTTGAGGCTCTCTGGGCGCTGCTGTTGGCGCAAGGCCCCGTGCTGCTGCAATTTCTTCAGCTCTGGGGCTTGCTCGTGGCCCTCAGCAAGAAGAGCACTGGGGAGACCACGTCACAGACCTGGGACCAGGCCGCCCTTCCCGTTTGATGCCAAAATTGCGACCATATAGTCCCTATATACTTCCACCCATGGTAAACGTAATCGGTCCCGGAATGTCAAGTCTGTGAGAATGACTCCAGGAGTATGTTCAGTGGCTGCAGCTGACAGCGGGCGGGCTCCGGGACGCTTTGAGCTTGGAATGCGAGTACGGAAGGCCGATGGGCAACAGTTCTTGGCAGCTAAGTTTCTCAGAACCCCATTTCGATTTTTGAAAATCCCTTTATGGCGCCAGGAACGCCCGCCTGGCTTGTGCTGTGCTGGGTCCCGTGCTGCCCTTGCTGCTTTTGGCCGCCTGCGCCATCCTGGAAGCCGTTTTGCGAGGTCGAGGTGGGCCATGCAACTATTGCTGTAATCGCAGTCCCCATTATGAGGTTATACTATCACGACTTACCATTACGCTTACTCCCATTTTGGCTCTTTCGATGGCTTCATCTCAGTATTGCTATCATCAACACTCGAATTACCATTACTAGTTTACGAGTGCTAGTACCAGCACCAAAACTGGTAGCTGCTAAGACGCAGCACTGTTCGTACGACGGCGACGACTCCTAAAGCTAGCTAAGCCCACTGAGACTCCGAATATATTGTCCGTCTGCAGAGAAGTCTCGCGAGCGGCCGCTACAGTAGAATCGTTAGATGGGTTGTGGAAGCGTTGGTATGTCGTTAGAAAGACGGGATAAGCAAGGTCGTGTTGTCTGTCGCCA